TGGATCTGGACCCCCCCCCCCCCAGGGAGAAAAGCTATCTACGCCATTGAAATCGGGTTTTCTCTAAAATTAACCGTTCAGGTTTCACAGCCTGTTAAGGTTGCAAAAAGTCAATTTGCAACTGTCAATATTTCCAAAACAGTTTCAACTTTGGTAAAGGATATATCACATGAAATCTGCTCAGAATTTTACGTAGAATCCAAATATGTAATCACATACAGGGTGTTCCTTTTGAAATAGCGATGTTGCCACTAGTTTAGAGTCGAAGCGGCAACACCGCATAAACAAAAATATTTTTAAAGTGTAGATTATGGTCGTTTATCTCGGTTGCCAAATTTTCAAAATGATCCGCTTTTTAATTTTCCATTGACGTCTAATACGCCATCCGCCGTGGGACACCCTGTATGTAGGGGTGCAGGTGAGTGCATGCCATTTTGTTTCTGCACTTAAAATATCTTTTTTTTATGAATTGCAAAATGGCAAGCAAGAAACAAACATTATTTTTTGTTTATATTTTTTGCAACTTTTTCCATGCATGCTTATTCAATGTTACGCCCTGAGATGCATGCCAATTGTTTTTTTTAATAATCAATATAAATGAAAATTTGAAATCACCAAAAGTACACTAAAAATTTTCACAAGATTTTCCACTAATTTTCCAGGCTTCCCCCACCGAGCGGCGCATGCCATTTATTTTTAGGCTGTTATTTCGATGAAAATTAAATATTTCCATTGGCATGCAATTTCAAAACATTAAAAATCAGCATTATTTTTTTCAACTTAAGGTGACTCTTTGAAGCATTTGCGCTACTGCGGGGTGCATGCCTTTCATTACAAGACTTTCAATACGTTAGTTTTACCTTATGTTTAAATGGCATGCACTTACAGATCACCAAAAACCACAAAAGTTTTTCACAAATGAAATTTCGACTTTCCCTATATAGCGGCTTTGAGCGGCGGTGAAAATCATATTTTTTCTTACTGTTTCTGGGTTAATTATTAACCATTAAAAAGGCATGCGGGATAAAATCAGTAGGTAAAACCTGTCACGCCCTCCCAATCTAATTGTAAACAGAAATTATAATTCCTGTATTCAGCAGACTCCCTGTTGAGCTGCTATGTCAACTGTCCTTTTCCATCTGTATGATTTAGAAAAGAATGAACAGTGAACGTTTCAGTAAATAACTCAACAGTTCAGTTGAAAAAGAAAACGGATTCATTAACTTTTTTTCCCGAAAAAAGGTCTTGGACTGATGTATTACCATTTCTTAACATATATTCTTCCGGCGGACATAAGCATGAAGTGGTGTTAAATAATTTTCCACTCCCTCATGAGACAACGCATTGACATCCATCTTGCAACCCGTTCCCTCCACAGGACGTCTTGTATCAGTATCCAGTAGCTATTCTACATTCAGACGGTGTATAATATATCTTCTTCGCTTATGATGACATTTTCTGAAACATTTTTTCAGCGAAATCCCCCACTCCCATCTATTTCCCTGCACAAGTGCGTTTCAGTACCATCTTATCTAACTGATGATAACGATGCAAGACGGTGTAAAATAATTTGATGAAATAGGCCTCGTATCCCGTACTATCTATAAGCTCCGGTCGCTGGCGCATACAGCTGACGACGTAGTTAATGACATCGTCAATGGTGCTACACCAATATGGCCGCGATCCGATAAGCAATCCTTGTAGTGTGTATTATCCTTGTATAACAAGAATCGTAAACTCTTGTTGCTCAATCGGCTAAATTGGTTCACAAGTGCTATGACGTCACCTGCATTCCTGAATTTCAAGATGGCCGCCGATACAGATGATAGTTGAGTTTGTGCTGACACTTATTTTATCGTAAATTCAAAGTTTATCAACATCGATTAAAGGCGATTAACCAGTCGGTCATAGTTGACAGATAATCAATGAAGCAAACGTCATTTGTCAACCAATCGGTTATAAATGACGTTAAATGCATCGTTTATCTGTCAATATAACCGACTGGTTAATCGCCTTTAATCGACACAAGTGTTATAAGATTGGTTATAAGTGTAATTCAAAGTTTCATTTAATGTGTTTAAGCATAAAAGACTCATGGCTAAAAATAATCGCGGAAACCCCGAACATTTTTTGGTTTTAATGGTTTTTTTAATACTAGATTTGTTGCATCAGGACATAGCTTTCTTTTCTTCGTGTGTATTGCTTAGCTTTCTACTAATTCTACTGTTAGTATTTCCTAGTCAAGTACAGGGTGACTCAGAGTAAATTTCCCTTTTTAAAAGCGCCCTGTACATCCAACCTTGTGGGGGGGTAAATATGGAATTGTGGTCGAACGAGCAACGCGCCTTTATGGTCGAGGCGTTTTTTAAATCGAACGATTCCTATGTCGCGGCACGTCGACGTTTTTGTAACCGGGGCGGCTTCTCATGAGCGTAATTTGACATTTATGGCGTGACAGCGTACCTGAATGCAGAATTCTGATTCAAAGAAATATTTCAAAATTTAGGAAAAAAATATAATTTTGACATACGCGGCGGCGTAAATTCGCCACTCCATGTGAATGTTGCGCCAAAATTCACGTATTCAGCATTGGCGCCAGTTATGTCAAGTTTACGCTCATGAGAAGCCGGCCTTAGGGTTACTTTTCATGCATCCGTTTATCCGCCAATCCGTTTATCCGAAAGTATTCCTATTGGCCCAATATTTTGGCGCTAAAATCCGGAAGTATTCCTATTGATCCAATATTCTGGCGCCAAAATATTGGGCCAATAGGAATACTTTCGGATCAACGGATAAACGGATGCATGAAAAGTAACCCTTACTATATTCGACGTATAGGTGAAGCTCCGTCAAAAAATTTATTGAAATCGTGGGTTCAAAGATTCAGACAAAGTGGCACAGTGACAAATCAGAAGCGTCCCGGCCAACATAAGTCTATCAGAACGCCAGAGAACATTGAGATTGTGCGACGTGCTTCGACTGAAAATCCGAGGCGCCCAATTCGAAAACTTGGCCAGGCCTTGAATATACATCGCTCAAGTGTGCAACGGATTTTAACAAAAGACCTACACTTTCATCCTTACAAGATTCAATTGGTGCAGTTTTTAAAGCCTACAGACCACGAAATCCGAAAAAGTTATTAGAGAGTTCTCGTGCTATCCAAATTTCAAGTACCGTAACGCTATTTGACAAGTATGACAATTCTTACGGTATTAGCGTTAGCGGAGCCCGCTATCTAACGGGACTTAGCGGATGCCTAACCGTAACGCTATGCTATGTCAAAATTAGTTCACGCTCCATTTCCGTCTGCAAGAACAGCAACTTCTAATAATTCCTCCATAAAAAACACCAAGGGAAAATTAATCAAACTCAGAATCTTCAGGATAAATAATAAGTTAAAAGACAAACAAAGAAAAGTTGGGTTAGATCACTCAACTCAGCTCTCAAAATGTGAACAGAATAAGGGATTGGAGGATTTTTGCGTATTCGTGTTCGAGAACTATAAAATACCATGTAAAATAACGTATTATTAGCGGTACCGTATTAGCGTAGCGTTTCAGGCACGAGAACTCTCTATTGTTAGACAATGATGAATTTCTTTTGGGATGAAGGAAGCTTGGGCAACATTTTATTCAGTGATGAGGAATAACCATAGCCGCTTTCCAGCTGTGTGCTTCAAGAACGGTGCAGCACAGTGTTCTGTGTTTGAAACGCAAAAGTTAGCAGCTCTTCGAAGCGCAGTACGGCTGGAACACGAATACGCGCTTGAAGCATTTGCGCGCGCAAAAGCTCGATTGCGTGCCCAAAAGCGTCAGCTGGAAAGCGGCTCATAATAGTTGTATTCTTTTCACACCTAGGAGGAGCTCCGGAACAGCTCCGGGACTTCACGCGCTTATTCCTTTCGAAAAGTGTTTGTTGCACCACGCATATGTTCCCTGCAAATCGGGGGCGACTAAGCACCGAAGCAAGTAGCTCGAGTGTTTCAAGCTCTTGAAAGGAATACAACTAATATAACAGACCTATTGTCAATTGCCAATTTCCAGTGTTGCCAACAGTATTTTTTTAATTCCGTCAACTTTGCTGTAGATTTCCGTCAAAAATCCGTTAAACCATTTTCTTTTCCGTCAATAAAATCCGTCAGCATGAAAAATGCAAAATGCGCTAAACAAATAAAAATGTATTCAGTAGGGGCAACCAAATCACGCAGAGTTAACAAAATTGACGACAATGCCATTTTTTTTTTTAGAAACACTAATCCGATTCACCCGATCATCGGCTGTTTGTATTTTATCCTTTTACAATAAAACCATTGAAAAAAAGACAGATAAATTCAGCTGGTGATCGGGCTAACGTTGCCGTGAAGGATTGTTTACAGACCAAAAGTAGCTTGAATCGCTAAACAACCAGTTTATTACATTTATAGAACATAGTTTAGAACTTTCAAACGGAAACTTAGTTCCCGTTAAAAAATCCGTCATCCGTTGAAACTGTTTTTTTCCCGCTTCCCTCCACCAAAATCCGTTAGATATAACGGGAAATCCGCTAAGTTGGCAACACTGCCAATTTAATTTCGAAACCGCGCAATCCACTTAGAGCTGGCGAGTAAAGCCTAGTACCACCTGCGAAATTCGCACTTTTTTGACATTGCTTTTACAATTTGACGTTTTATGCGTGTATCAAACGAATTTCGCAGTTATGAGTAGGTACTAGGCTTAAGGGTGGATTTTCATGCATCCGTTTGTCCGACGAAAGATGTCCGAAATTTTTTTTATTCTGACATAATCGTATAAAAATATTTCAAAATAGAAGATTTTTCGGACATATTTCGTCGGACAAACGGATGCATGAAAATCCACCCTAATCCGATATCGTTCTATTCGAAGCGACCTTTTCATTTCTCAAATGGGAATCGCAACTTTCACCGAAAGCGCCTAATCCGATACGTATTGTCAAATGCCAATTGGAATCCGTCCGGGCCCTCTGGAATTTTGAGGCGTTTTCTTTTTTTTGTTCAGAACAGCAAAGAATGTAGTTTTTACAGAAATGAATTAAATCATGGAAATTTAATATCGATAGTCGAGAGTGTTAAAATTAAATTATAAGATAAATAAAATTACAGAAATTATCTTCCACTTCCTACTGTTTAAAAATTAGAACCTAACCAACAACTTTGTACAAAACTAGGGATGCTGATATCGAAAAAAAGTATCGATATATTTAAATCGATATTTTTGTAATATGTTTCGTTGCAAAACATAACCTGTCAAAGTTAAAAATAAACAAAAGAAAGAACAGAAAATTTCAAAATTATCACATTCCAAAAATGATGGAAGTCTCCCCTCTAAGCATAATTCTAGTAAAATCAGACAGTAAAGGGGACCGACTACTATTCCGATATCCATTTCAAGTACAGGAAACCATACAAACTCCTAGCAAAGTCCGGAAAAACTTATATGCATTCCAAGGGCTAGAAGAAACTATACAGAGCGCTGTGATAGTGTCCACTTCCAATATTAGCAAAGGAACGATCACGGGTTTCAGTGACGAAGTCCTCTCTTCCTTGTTTGCAGTGAAAACAGATTTGTGCAATAAAAAGTTTGAGCTAAAAGTTAATGATGTAAGATTTGTGAGCCACCCTACCTTGATTCAACTAAAAAATAAACAAGCAGATAAAGATGATTCTGGAATAATGCTAATTAATATTGTGTTCGCTTTATCAGCTTTGGCCAGTCATTCTGTAGTTAGATGTTATCATGATTTAAGTCAAAGAATAGGAATTATTTTACGCCACGAAGAAAAACGTTGTGGATATATCTCAGAACAAACTCTTAGTATGATGTCATCTCATGATGAAGATCCTACAAATAATGGGTCAGCCTTTCAAAATATTCTGGAAAGATGTAATTTGGCAAATAACATTAAAAAAATTTACGAAGATTTATGTAGTGATGGAGTTGTAAGTGTTAGAATTAATAGGTGGATTGGCTTAAGTTTTTGTCTTCCACAAAAAGCTCATCAGTGGCACTTGAGAGGGCAAATTGTAGAGCCTGAAGATATTGATAGGTGTATTCAAGCACTAAGACCCTATCACAGTTTATTGTTACTTCATCCTGTAGAACATTTGATCCAATATACCTGCCTAGACAGTTCTCCATCATTAGAAAAATTATTAGCCCAATATTCGCCAATGAAAAATTTACAAACCCTAGCAGCTGATTCTGATCTAACTTTAGCACAAATCTTTGAACTATCAGCTCATCTAGTTTACTGGGCCAAAGCCACTGTGATTTTTCCTGTTTGTGGCACAAATAAATATGTGATATCTCCTCGTGCACCACTAAATCATAATTCACCTCTAATAGAAAAATTTAACAGGCTATTTCCTGGATGTCATCTTATCCAGATTATAAATGAATTTTCTGTTCCCACTTCACTGCACTCCAAACTAAATCCACTTTGTAAAACAACTTTGGAATCGTCTTTAGCAAAATATATTATTTGGATGTTACAGCATCATCTTTTGTTGCAATTGCATACTTATATTGAATATATGCCTACTGAAAATGGGTCTTCTGGTTCAAAGTCTCTAAAAAAATGTGGTAAAACTCCTTCACCAAGGGCTAGTTCTGTTTTGTCTGCTTCATATCCTGAAGTAGCTAGGACTGAATCAGAAAGTGGAACTTCTACAGTATCAGAAGCACCTGATTTAATTAAACAGTTAAATTTGGAAAATGTTAGTTTCGCTTCAACAGATGATGATAAGCACGATTATCAAGAAGAATTATTATTGGATTTTCCTGATGAGGAACGAAGTCAGATTTTTAAAATTCCTGCTACAAATACACCGGATGATTTGAAATTGTTTGCCAGATTATGCAGGAAACGTTATTTTGAAGGCACACATCATGTAGAAGAAATAATGTATTTAGAGAATTTAAGACGTAGTCAGTTGACACAACTTTTGGATAAATTTAGGGACGTTTTGATCACTTATGATAGTGAAGATCCTGCCATAGCAATGTTTTCTTGGAATAGTTGAAAAAAATTAAATGTTATGTTACGCTTGTTATATTATATAAAATTATACCTATGGTGATTATTATTTATAAGTTAAGCTTTAGCAGTTTTATTGAACTTATTGTTTTTACTAATTTCTTTTTTTTTTATGAAAATGAAACTTTATTGAATTATTGCTTTACCATTAACTTATCTGTGTTATTTTCACTGAAATTTGCATGTGATGTTCAGTTGAATAAATGGCTATAATTGTTCTATTGAAAATTTTTGTATTATTTTCAGTAAGTGGAAATATATTACTGATAATACTGGCAATAACACATTATAGTGTGAATCAGAGACCTTAAAACAAGTTTCGAAAAATCAGCCAATCAGAGCACAGCATTCTCATCATTGTTGCGACCTTAACTAAAATTACTTTTTTTTTTTCAATAATTTGTAGTTCGTACATAACTTTTTTTGTGGGACTTCGGACATCCTAGAATCCTAGGTATACTTCTCAATGTTCAGAGAGAAAAAAGAACAGAAGAAGGAATAAAGAAATTTTCTCTTACCTCTGGACGACCAAGGAGACATTTCACTGCCTTGATTACGCGGACACGACATGGTCATAGCAGTCAGAGGTAGACACCTCGAATATGCATAAAAAAAAAAAACAAAACGCACTGAACATATTCGAAAACTGGTGTTGGGAGAAAGGACTGTCGATTAATCCGCAGAAAACCGAAATTGTCTCCTTCGTAAGGAAAAGAGTAATAAGGGTCGGTATTATAAAACACTGAACCGATGGTTGAGTTTCGGAAACTCAACATCGGTCAGTGTTTTATAATACCGGCCATAAGAGGGCTAGGCTTAACAAAGTGGAAATTCCATTCTCGAAAGAGGTCAAATACCTACCTAGGAGTCATCTTTGACCAATAAGTGACCTGGGGCCTAAAACTGTACAAATTCGTCCAGAAGGCAAACATTGCCATTGGGAGATGCAGGAGGCTCTGCGGAAAAAGCTGGGGGCCAAACGACTTCCGCTTAACCCAAAGATAAACCTATGGTTGTATACAAAATGGTAATGAGGCCAATGATAACCTTCGATTCGGTTGCCTGGGGAGTGAAGGTCACGCAGACCGTAACAATCAGACAGCTTCAAAGTGTGGAGAGGCTAGCATGCCAATGCATCACGGCGGCCATGAAAACCCAAACTGCAGCTCTAGAGGTGCTGCTGAACCTGCCGCCACTACATAATATCTACATACAGGGTGAAGTAAAAATGCAGTACGTTACAGACTCAAACAAGGCCAAGGTCCAATTAAAACACCAAAGGAGAGGAGAGGAGTTGGAAGATAGAGGAGGATTAAGCGGTCGCCTCCTTGTACGAGATGCCTTCAGATAAAACAACTCTTTTCATCTTCAGCAGGCTTTTTCGGGTTGCCAGATAGGAAAGACTGGAACTCAACTGGAAGGAAGGCCCTCCAATTAAAGCAGACCAACACCACCGACGCGACGGCTCCAAGACCAACAACACCGACGCGACGGCTCCAAGACCAACAACAGGGTCGGAGCTGGCATTTACCGGGACAAGCACAGGGTGAAGATATCCATAAGTCTCGGACAGCTTGCCACGGTCTTCCAGGCAGAAATCGTTACATTAATGCACTGTACCATACTGATAAAGATAAAGAAGTGAAGGGTAAAAACATTGTTATTTACTCGGAGAGTCAAGCAGCCCTGAAGGAAGTCAGCTCCCCAGAAGATCAGCTTCATACTGGTCAGCGACTGCATTAAGGTGACCATATTTTTTTTGTAGGAATGCTGTATACATCTAAAATTTTGGGACAGGTGAGTGGAGAAAGCACTAAATGCTAAAGAAAAAAAAACGGTGCCACGCCCAAAAAAAGTTTTTTTCTACTGACGTTTCATAATAGCAACTTTTCGATTGTCATTTCAGTTTTGAAACGACATTCTTTTAGGCACTGAGTGCGTGAAAGTTACTTTTAGGCACTCAGTGCGTAAAAGTGACTTTTGAATGCGTAAAAGTGACTTATGAGTGCGTAAAAGTAATTTTTAAGCACTAGTGCCTAAAAGTGTCAATCATTATTCAGAAATAAAAAACAACACTAAACACATATTTGAATTTTGTTTTGTATTTATTATGAATATTGAAAATGGAATTACTGAATTGAACGTTTGGGTTACTCAAAACAGAACTTTGTTTTATTACCTACTTTCTAGGATTTTAAATATTGATGCCGAATTTTGAAAAGAAAATCGCATGAAAATTGTCAGGTGTCAAGTAAAAGCAGGTGACAAAGATTTTGGGTGTAATCGACTTATTCACATGAAATAAAATTGTGTTTTTTTTATTATAAAATGCCAGTAGAAAAAATCTTGTATACAATACGTTACGAAACGATGTCTTTTAGTCACTCGACGTGTTGTCCAACTCGGCTTTGCCTCGTTGGACAATTTTCACGTCGCGTGCCTAAAAGACGCTCATTTCGTAACTTATTGTATAAATAGCTATTTTGGCCAAATTTTGTCAACTATAGCTCGTTTTAAGCCGGAGTCTCATGCATCCATTTTCTGACGTCCGATTTCTGAAAAACCTTCTATTCTAATATATTTTAATACGACTATGTCAGTAGAAGGTTTTCTGGACATCGGATGTCGGAAAACGGACGCAAAAGACTCTGGCTTTAGTACCATACTCTGAGGCCGGCTTCTCATGAGCGTAAACTTGACATAACTGGCGCAAATGCTGAATACGTGAATTTTGGCGCAACATTCACATGGAATGGAGAATTTACGCTGCCGCGTATGTCAAAATTATATTTTTTTTTTCTTTTTTTGAAATATTTCTTTGAATTTTGATTGCACAAATTTGTATTTGTTTTTGCTTTATTTCCAAATAGTTACAAATATGGACAGTAAATTAAAAAAGTCAAGAAAACGAAACGGTTGTAACCATAGGGCGGCTTCTCATGAGCGTAATTTGACATTTATGGCGTGACAGCGTACCTGAATGCAGAATTCTGATTGACCAAAATTCCGCCATATTGGATACGCTGACATTCTGCCGCAGATACGCCAAAAGTTGAGCAAAGTTCAACTTTTCGCGTAGAAATTCAGCGTTTTTAGAGGTTAGGCCGGCTTCTCATGAGCGTAAACTTGACATAACTGGCGCAAATGCTGAATGCGTGAATTTTGACGCAACATTCACATGGAATGGAGAATTTACGCCGCCGCGTATGTCAAAATTATATTTTTTTCCTAAATTTTAAAATATTTCTTTGAATTTTGATTGTACAAATTTGTATTTGTTTTTGCTTTAGTTCCAAATAGTTACAAATATGGACAGCAAATCACAAAAATAAAGAAAACGAAACGGTTGCAACCTTAACCTCTAGAAACGCTGAATTTTTACGCGAAAAGTTGAACTTTGCTCAACTTTTGGCATATCTGCGGCAGAGTGTCAGCGTACCCAATATGGCGGGATTTTGGCCAATCAGAATTCTGCATTCAGGTGCGCTGTCACGCCATAAATGTCAAATTACGCTCATGAGAAGCCGCCCTGAAGATGATCGTGTAAATGACGTAAATCGCAAATGTAGAGATGTGGCGTTAGTTATCGATTGACAATTTTTCGTACAATTTTACCATTTTTAAGAAAAACTCAATTAGGATCCGAATCGCTGTACGTTTGCTGTAAAAAATGAAATGCTGGACAGACTTTCAAAATGCTGTACAATACAGCGAAATGCTGTACGTATGGTCACCCTAGACTGCATACATCATGCCCTAGAAGGAGTAGACTTGTCCAACAAACTTACTGTTGAGTGAGTTCCAGGCAATGAGGGCCACCTAGGCAATGAAGAAACTGACGACTTAGCTTAAGGAGGCTCAGACACCGAGATGATAGGCCCAGAATTATTCTGTGGAATTTTAGCATCTCTCTTTGAAACATCTATCAAGAACTGGAGACAGAAATTCCAGAGATGGTGGCTACAAACACCAGGATAACCTCCCGTGCCAGGAACTACTTTTCGCTTTAGACTCTGGGGATGCAGAAAGGTTTTTGTTATTGCATTTACTCAGCAGAAAAAAAAAGGAGTAAAACGAATGCAAATTTACAAAAAAGAGGAACTCATGGATGCCTGCATGTGCAAATGCAGTTTATATAATTCGGAAAAGCCTGCAACCATTCCAATCAATTTTTCCATTTTTCGGTCTCAAAAAAATGTTCAAACAAACAAAAGTAGGTGCCAACGACCCACGATTCACGAAACTGTGTTGCAAACACAACTCGACCCACGTAAAAATAGGTTGAGACTGTGCTGGTGCTGGCCGGGGGATAGGTTCAATATGCGCCACTTCGTTTCCGTTCCACAAAATTGCCGATGCGTGGGCTGCGCATGGGATGTACATCTGGGTTCAATTTCCGCCGAGCCTTATACAAGCTCCGGTTCACAATACTTGGTGACGAAAAGCCCAAACCGCCAAGCTATATGAAGGGGCCAGTTTCACGGCTTTGGAGTCTTATCAGAAGGACGTGTCTGGACAATGCACTCTAAGGTCAGACAGGAAATACTACAATAAATCAACAAGGTTGCAGTGGTAGAGAACGCCTCTGCGCCATCTCCGTTTAATAAATCTAAATCTAAGGGTGACCGAAATACATAGCCATTTCAGGCTCGCTCAGAGCTTCTGTAACGTAAGAGACGGTAAGGACATACCGAAGATACATGGATGAGTGCGGTAGAGGTGGCGGTAGAGAGAGGTTGTGGTCGCGATCGAGGCTTACATCGATGCCAGGCAAAACACGCCGGAGATGCTTTTCTTTCATTTCAGTCAAAGTCAAAGCTTTCGGCTTTCAGTGTTCTTTGAGGTTTCAGAGAAAACTGACGTAGTTGGATTCCATGCTTATATGAGAATGGGTTTGGATACATTCCAGTATATTTACGACACCATAAAAACGAAAAATTGAACGTTGCAATTATAACAACTATCGTACGAACCGGATTTTAGCTGAAGAAAAACTAGTAGTAACAATACAATAAGGGAAGCATAACCACATTTTAAATTTTTAATTTTGATTCACATTTCAAATTGTTATTTTTTAATTTAATTTCAACATGTAGTTGTTTGAAGAGTCCAAGTCTGCTGACGTCTGATTTGTGGATATGGATGAGGAAAATTCATACCTCGATTCATACGGCAGGAAAGTCTGTTTACTCCAAACTGGTTCACACCAAGAAGGACCAGGTTGAAGATGCGGGGCATGTTCTATCTGGTAGGCAGCAGGTACTGAACAGGCCAGCCTCTGCTGTTTTGAAGGCTACAGGAATTCAAATAAAGAGTTCTGCATATACATTCCAAATTTTTA